GGTTAATACATGAAGGGATTAAGCAAAAAAAAAAAAAAAAAAAAAAAGGAAACTTCATAGACAGACAACAGTATGGTGATTATCATAGGGATAGGGGATTGGAGAGGTAGGAGAGGGTAAAGAGGGGGTAAATAGTAATGGAAGGAGACTTGACTTGGGGTGGTGAACACAGAGTACATTATATAAATGATGTACCTCTGAAACCTATATAATTTTATTAACCAATGTCACCCAAGTACATTCAATTTTAAATGTTTTTAATTGACATTCTGCTCTTTTTACCTACAAAAATGACAATTTCATATTGTTTAAAGTAATATGTATGCCTGGACTACATCTCCAAAAGTTCTGGTTCATAGAACTAAAGCTAAAGTAGAGCTAAAGAATATTTGTTTAGAAGTTCCATGGGTGATTCCATGTCTTTTTTTTTACATTTATTTATTTTTATTGATTAAGGTATTACATATGACTCCACGTCTTTTTGAGAACTATTAAACTGGCCATCTCTCAACTCCCTTCCTAAAGGCCTGTTTGTTTTCTAATTTACTATTTGCAATAATTGCATGTTAGTTTTCTGCCACTAGATGGGAGTAATGTGCCACTATCACACCAAGGAGCTGTGTTACCTTGAAATTCATCATGGTGGCTCTCAGTTCAAGCCCAGTATGTTTATAATGGAACAACTCCATGTATTTTAACATCTGTAAAGAGAACGAATTTTTAAGAAAAATGCTAATGAAATGATTCATTAGCTCATCTTTTAGAAATAAAACTCCAAAATCATGTGCTTAATATATTTTCCAACTAACTCATAGCTTCAGAACTTGCTCTGTTCTTTCTACATACTTCCTCCATTCCACCCAAAACTCCATGTACTGGCTTGTATTGTCCCTGTTCTCTTTGTGGCCTCAAACTCCCAACCCTTAGAACTAATGTCTCAGCACAGTCATTTCTCAGTGAAACCCTCTCCAAAATTGCCCCCCTATCAGTCAAGATCCTGCTTCTACATTTATGAGCATACAGCTACATTTAGGTGAAAGATACCTACCATCTTTCCACCCTTCTCTTCCTTCTCACTCTTCTAATCTTTCTCCCTCTTACATGTTCATAAGCTTTACATATTTTATTAGTTTAACTTCTTAAATCCTTAAAACTCTGAGAAACCCCAAGGAATGCCGAAAAGTTGAGGGTGGGGGAAAGAGAAGGAAGACCAAGTCCTCATTCTGTCTGACCTGCAAAGTTTGGTGTTTATTTGTGTCACAGAGGTTAACCCTTTTCCTCTCTCTCTTTAGGGCTCACTCTTTATAATCCCACTTGACCCCTCCTATCTAGTATCTTATAGCTCTCCTTGTGGTCATGACTGTTGACTTAGTCCAAAAGAACAATCTCTTCTCTAATTCTTAGTTCTTCTAGTCTAGGCTTTTACTCAACTGGCTTAATGAAGAATAAATGGTGCTGTGAAGAGAAGGGTTTCTGTTTTCTCACTTGCTGTCTTTAACCCTTCTTCCTCCTCCTCCTCCTTTCTTCTTCTTCATACCCTCTCAGAGTTGCCTTATAACAAAGCAAACTGGTGGTTATATAAGGCTTCTATGCTAACATTCTGGAACTGTATTAGTGGTGGTCGATGTTAACTTGAGTTTAATACATGAAAATGAAAAAGTAACATCCATTTTGTTAACGACTCAGTCATTATTCAAGAGCTGTATCTAGTTCTAGGTTTTAGGGTTTTGAAGAAAGTAGAGAAATTGGAGATGATCCAGAGAAGAAATACTAAAGGTAGAAAAGACCCTAGAAAGAAAGGTGGCAGATGCTATGATTTGGTGTACAGACTAAATATTGATTGTTAATTTGGCAGCCCCCCCCCCCTTACTACTTCCTTTCGAAGAAAACAAAGAGATTACTCAGACATCCTCCATATTTAGTGATCATAGAATAAAATGGATCATAGAATAAAATGGAACATTGTCAAGCAAGCAAAATTCAGCCTCAGCTAAAGAAAAAGCAAATAATGCCTTTCCTAGATCTTTGCAGTGATAGATTCAGACACAGAGGGTCTGCATGATGGTACAATCTAAAAAAAATAAAAATAAGAAATACCTTTTAGCTTTCACAGAGATTGCATCTCAGACTAAACTGAATACCTAGACAGCTGGCCTCTTGGTATCTCTTTCTAAGGATGACTGCTTCTGTTACCATTTATATTTTCTTGAATTCTCACCATTAAGCCCCAAAGAAAGATTTCCTTCTTCTCACTTCCTCTTCACAGAGGAAATAAAAAACAACCCACAGCTTTAGATATTTCAAGAAAAGAGAAATTGCTTCACAGAAGAGGCCAGACATGATATAAGGAAGGTTTAAACTACAACAGAGAGACAAGCCTTGACCACGTTGAGGTTAGTGAGCAGTTTGGCAGAGAGCAGAGAGGAGATGAGTTGTCAGCACAGTGCTCCCTCTCTCTCATCCCAAGTTGGCTTCCAAAAGGAAGGAATTGAGTTCATATCACCATATCCATTGACTTAAGCCACATAGTCTCCCAGCTATCGCAAAAGGAAGCAAGTGTACTAGACTATTTTAACCGAGTGCCTCATATACCTTCCACCTGCTCATTATAGAAAAATCAGAAAGCACATATAAGCAAGGGGAAAAATGAAAATCACCTGTGGCCTCAACCAACCGGTGCCAAATCTTTTCATTTGGGGGCATAATTTTCCAAAGTTTCTTCTATGTTAAATATATGGATTCTTCTTTTCAAAAATTGGATTATATTGTCTTTAATCTTTAGTTATTCTTTTAAATTCAGCAGTATATTTTAATACCTTTTTGTGTCAATAATTTTATGTCTGAAATCCTATTTTTAATGGTTGCTGAATATGTGAATATCCAATATGATCTTTCCAATTCATGAATGTTGGACATTTAGCATCCTTCTAAATTTTTTATATTACAGATAATGCTGTGATGGACATCCTTGCAGATAAATATTTGTACTGCTCTCAACATCCTTTTAGAATATACCTAACTGGTTTGGCTCAGTGGATAGAGCATTGGCCTGTGGCCTGAAGGGTTCCAGGTTCAATTCTGGTCAAGGGCATATACCTTGGTTGTGGGCATATCCCCAGTAGGGAGTGTGCAAGAGGCATCTGATCGATGTTTCTAACTCTCTATATCTCTCCCTTCTTCTGTAAAGAAAATCAATAAAATGTATATATTTTTTAAAAAGAATATATACTCCCTTTAAAAAGCCATTATTGGTTCAAGAGAGAGGTCATTTTTAAGGATTTTGATACAATTGCCCAGTTGCTGTCCAGAAAAATCTTTAGGTGAGAGAGTATAGCTTTCCAACCTGCCCATCACTCTGCCAGTTCTTCAGGATTTATCTCCCCCCTCCAGTGCCACTAAGCCCACTAGTGTCCCCTTGGTTGGCATCCTCTATTTTAACACTTAAAAATATGAGGATGATAATACTCTTGAACACTTCATGGCTCTGCTTCATAGAATTAACTCTGGTCCCTTTTCTTTCTTCAGAGCACTGTAAATCCACTGAAAGATAACAATAAAAAGATAACCCCCAAACCACCCATATCATTGGATATTAAGAAATAGGCTTCTGCTGAAACCGGTTTGGCTCAGTGGATAGAGCATCGGCCTGTGGACTGAAGGGTCCCAGGTTCTATTCTGGTCAAGGGCATGTACCTTAGTTGCGGGCACATCCCCAGTAGGGGGGTGTGCTGGTGGCAATTGATCCATGTTTCTCTCTCATCGATGTTTCTAACTCTCTATCCTTCTCCCTTCCTCTCTGTAAAAAATCAATAAAGTATATTTTTAAAAAACAGAAATGGGCTTCTAAATAACATATGAATTAAAGAAGAATTCTATTGAAAATTAAGGCATCTTTGCAATTGAATGATAATGAAAATACTACATGGCAAAACTTGTAGGTTGCTATTAAAACATAGCTAAAAGGAAACCTTGCAGCTTTTAAGAATAAATACTGAAAATTAATGAGCTCTTAAGGATCAAACTCAAGAAGTTAGCAAAAATGAGTGAATGGCCGAAGCCGGTTTGGCTCAGTGGTAGAGCGTCGGTCTGCGGACTGAAGGGTCCCAGGTTCGATTCCGGTCAGGGGCATGTACATTGGTTGCGGGCACATCCCCGGTAGGGGGTGTGCAAGAGGCAACTGGTCGATGTTTCTCTCTCATCGACGTTTCTAGCTCTCTATCTCTCTCCCTTCCTCTCTGTAAAAAAATCAATAAAATATATTTTTAAAAAAATGAGTGAATGAATGAATGAAATCTTTGAAGTCAGCAGTTCTCTACTTGTTTTTGTACACCCTCTCAGCTCCAATACAATGCTTAACAAATAAGTGGAACTTGATGAACATCAGATTGGATTTGTTAAATCATAAAGGTCATGATACTAAACACGTGGTATTTTCAAGTTGTCAGGGTTGAATATTCCCAATCTGATTGATCTGCCAAAATAATCCGTCCTAGCATCCTTAATTCTTGGGCCAGTAGATTCTGACTTGAGGAATGCAAGACACCTAAAGGTTGGTGAATTTCAGAGGGTTAGTAGAGATTACCAACTTCCCTGAGTTACAATAAGGATGTATTTTCCCTATCTCTGGACATCCAGAGAAGTGCTTTGTGTTTATTCTATTAGAATATATATAGGAGATAAAGATTAAATAAAAGTGTCTTTGTACTGTTACATCAACAAATCGCTTTGACCATCAGAAGCCAAGAACAGGGCCTGGCAGCCATCAGCTGGAGTTCAAGAAAGTTTTGCCCGTGTAAGAGACAGAGGATTGGACTCTGGGGATTAATTTTACTCAAGGAAAAAGAAGTGACTTTAATTTCATTAATGGCCTCCTGGATGGTTCCGCTACAAGTTTAATTCTCATTAAATATTAATGCCACCCAGTTCTTAATATACTGCCTTTAGTATCATACAACTCAAACTGACACTAACCTGTTTTATATTTTATAACTGAATCACAGGGCTTTTTCAGGAGAAGTCAGCAAAGCAATGCCACCTACTCCTGTCCTCGCCAGAAGAACTGTTTGATTGATCGAACCAGTAGAAACCGCTGCCAACACTGTCGATTACAGAAATGCCTTGCTGTAGGGATGTCTCGAGATGGTGAGCACTCAGCTTGCATTGTAGGGTGGTGACATGGGGCTAGGAAAGTGCCTTCCAAAACCAGGACCCAGATCTGCCAAAATATGCCCTCCACCCCTGGCGGTTGTGTGGGTTTCACAGCAGTTACTTCCTCCTCCATAATCTACCCCATTCAGCTGGCTAGCTGATGGCATGGTGCTTGGAAAGTGTGGTCAGAACACCTTCGGGTTTTGGGGTTGTTTTTTTATGATTAAGATATTACAGGTGGATGAATTGATCGAAGGTTAATGTCATCTGAGGGCCTTAATAAATATACCTCCTACAGGCATTTCCCCCATTGTTACATGCTGTGAATTGTTACACTCGTGAATTTATTGGCCTTTGGTTTGAATTGGCTTTTATGCTAACTGCATATTTTGAATCACATACCAAAGTCAAATATTTGTACATGCAGAATGTGTGAAAATAGTGCAAAATGTGGCTCGATGACAAATGTTCTTTTCATTAAAAGAGGCTATTTTAAGAAATAGAGACCATCTACCACTCAGTTGCAGAACATTTTAAGATCTTCCTGGAAAACTATCTTAAGTGCACTGAATAATCAACACCAGATTTCAAGGCAGTTATTCTTATATAAGGAAACTGGGCAGAAAGTACAGCGGGTACATTTTTCAGGAGTATACTGGCTGGCTCTCTTAAGAGATCCCTTTGAAGGAAATAAACTTCAGGATGCTGGGCAGGCCTTCTGAAAGCCAGTCTTCCCAAAATCAGATGTGCTTGGGGCCTGGGGGCCTGCCCAGGCACAAGGGGTGATGACCTCCCATAGGGAGGCACAGGGTGGTCTCTTAGAATATATAGAAACAAGAACTACATTTTTGCCATCAGAATATGCAAGTCACAGAAGTCACACTGTATTCTCAGAAACTCCTGAGTGCTAGGCAGCTCCGCAGAGTTCATCCTCAAAGTTGGGCTCATCTCTTAGGAACTTGTAAGTTAAAAACACAGGCTGTGTGTGCGTTTTCTCAGTAGCAGATCTTTTTATTTCACCTACAGGATGGTGTGATTACTGTTGTTAATATCCAGGCAGATGTTAAAACACCGTTCAGAGTCACACAGAACAAGTGTCACCTATGGGTATCGATCCCCTTGGGTGTTCTAGAACACAGATTCTTCCACACAGAGATAAAATGCCTTCGGTATGCCTCCTGGAGGTTTTGTATAGAAGGGACAGTGCACGTTATTGTGGGCTTTGAGTGAATTTGAGGGCTTATACAAATTTAGGCTTGGCATTCAGAGCCCACGTCAGCCTACATGCTGTCTAACCCGCCCCATCCAAGTTTGTTTCTTCAGTCCTAGAATGTAGAGAGATTCACCAGTATCAAGCTCACTTGTTTCCTCTCTGCAAATGGACAGTGAGTGTTTTCCTTGGTAGAAAAAGAATCCAACAGGTGGTGGCCCTAGTTCCAACTTCATATCCATTTATCCCGCCTCTTTCCCATAGACTCACAGAATTATGATGATGGTCAAGTAGTTGAATTCACCCACCCCATCAAGTATAAAATTAACCATCAATCAATTAGGACATCTTAGTTCCTCTAGCAGAGGCTTACTCCACATATGCAGGGTTGAGCTGAAAAATACAATGAGTTGAGCTCAAACCCGGAAATCATAGAGTTTTTTCCCCTCAGAAACATGGGTGTTTCAGGAGAAATCGTTTGGGATTCTTAATGAACTAGAGAGTTATTACAGTAATTGCTCCGCTCTAAATAGGGAACCTCCCAAGGAGAAGTATTGCAAACACAAATTTGTCTGACAGGAAGGGATCCTTACACAGTGTTTGCCCTTTCTAGAATGCTGATACTCTTTTTTACTTAAAGCAAAATAAGAACAGTAGAGAGTGTCATGTAAATGTGGGTCCTAGCATGTACAATACAAGGGCCACCATGACCCAGCATAGGGGAGTGGCTTCTCAGGGAGACTCAGAGATGTGTTCAGGTCGCTCAGTGAAGCCCCAGGCTCAGCTGTTTGATCGGGAAGAAACTCATTTGAGTGTTCAGAATAGTGGGATAAATGAAAATGGAGGTCTGACTGCTTGTGTCTCGAAGTACCTCTGAGTCGGTGCATTAATCTGAACACCATGAAGAGAAAGAGATGGTCCAGCAAGGCCACGTAAGTGGGGAGTGAACAAACCCACTTGGTTGCATACTAGTGGCTACCACTGAGCACAGGGCCTTATGACAGCAGGAAGCCATGGGGGGGTCATTGACCCAGGTCTCCCTACTTACTCATCCTCTGTTCCTCTGGGATATGTCTTTGCCGTTGCAGATGCGAGGTGGGTCTGTTGGGTCACATCCTTATTTTGTGGTTATGTGGGTTTTGATTGAGATTGTCTGAGATTCCAAAGGAACCCGGGTCTAAAGCATGCCGGAGAGGAGAGTGAAGAAAAGCACATTGTATATGGTTTGGTTGGTTTGTGTCTTCCAGCTGTAAAATTTGGCCGCATGTCGAAGAAGCAGAGAGACAGCTTGTACGCAGAAGTGCAGAAACACCGGATGCAGCAGCAGCAGCGCGACCACCAGCAGCAGCCTGGAGAGGCTGAGCCGCTGACTCCAACCTACAACATCTCGGCCAACGGGCTGACGGAACTACATGACGACCTCAGCAACTACATCGACGGGCACACCCCCGAGGGGAGCAAGGCAGACTCTGCCGTCAGCAGCTTCTACCTGGACATACAGCCTTCCCCGGACCAGTCAGGTCTTGATATCAATGGAATCAAACCAGAACCAATATGTGACTACACACCAGCATCTGGCTTTTTTCCCTACTGTTCCTTCACCAATGGAGAGACTTCTCCGACTGTGTCCATGGCAGAACTAGGTAATGGCTTCCATGTTTCTGTTGGGATGTGCTACTTGTGCCCTAGGAAGTAAACAGGATGGGCCTGGCTTTCCTCTAGTGAGTTACGTTCTTAAAATGGTAGAGCTAGAAGGGAAATTCACCTTTACCCTTTGGACCATTTCATAATCCCACCTGCCCCCTTGCTTGACCATCCATTGTTTCCGTTATATATGCAAGAGAAACATTGACCTCTTAGCTTCAGAGATGGGTTGACATGAACTTAAAGCAGTCTTAAAATGCCACAGAAAACCGGTAAGTTCAGGGAATGGCCCCATTCATTAGTTATTTACTTACTTATAATCCATGTATTGCTTTATACCTGAAGTCACAAAAATGGCAGTCCACAAACTGAATCTGGCCCATAATATATTCTTGGATTCGTACAGAGTTTTAAATTTTTGAAACAGTTGCCAAAATGTAAAAATTTGATCCACATAAAAATTGACATTGTCAGCTTCTTATGAGAGGGAAAAAATGATCTAGGCACAAGGGACCAGCAACAACTAAGTGGCATCAGTGAGGGGCTAACACCTTTAGATGAGCCCGCCCCACTCCCCCCATCTGTGTGATTGCCCATGCCGCAAGTTTTGCAATCCTGGTGAATGCTATAAATATTAAAGAGAAATTGGCTTCTTTATTTGCCAGAACGTTTTGTTGATGGATATTGGTGACAAAACTGATGTCTTTTATAGAAGACTCACCATACCAAAACAAAACAAAACAAAACAAACAAACAAACAAAAAAACCACAACAGGACAAAAGAAAAATATCCTGTCAATTTCTTAGTCCTCTGACATATTCGCTTCTTGGGTGATGTGGCCTAGAAATGTTAATAACACCGACAATGAAAATCTTTCCATTTCAAGGAGGCTGTGTTAGCATCCTCTGTTATATTTAATCGCTCTTTAAGGACAGCAGTGCTGTCAGAGGAACTTGGATAAGAACCTTGGTGGTCTTAGGATTTGATCTGTCCCTCCCCATGACTCCTCACTCAAGATTATAATCCTTTGGGATCTTTCAATTAGTTGCTGTGGCGATGGCTAAGTTTATATGCGGAGAGAATAAAGACTTCAGATGGAAAGGCACCAGCGGGTACTGACTCGAGCACCGAAATCCTCAGCTCACTGGAAGAGCGGCTGTGCTCTTCAGATGGTTTCTCCACCTCTGTACCCCATAAACCATTTTTAAGTGAAATTTATATTTCCAGTAAAATATTTCTCCAAATAGAACAAATTGAATGTTCTTCACGGTTTTTGCACAAGCGCCTTTTTATGGGTCTAAATTTAAATCCTCAAGCGCAGGGCCATTTTAAGCTCGGTCTGTAACCACTGAGCAGCGTTCAAGGTGGATCGCAGCTCTTTTGATTAACAGAGAAACCTCTGAACTATTATAGAAGCCAAGCTGAGCAGAGGTAGGTTTGATTTTATTTTTTCTTGAACTAGAACAAAAACCTTCCATTTCTGTCGTGAAATCTTGGTTGGCTGAGCCTTAAGCAGAACTGGTAATGAAAGTGAAATTTTCAGAAATGAATAAGGATTTGATTGAGAGCTGGCATGATATCATGAAAAATGACCTGGCTCACTTAACCTCGGGTCTGCTTCCACCTTACCATAAACACTAGTGAGTCTATCCAGTTTGCTTATCAAATGTTCAGCCGTGAAATAAATCCACGGAGTTTAGCAGAAGTGTTTCCTGTGAAGATGGCACTTTGGCTAAATGTGTACTCGTTAGTACCTGAGTGGAGCCAGGAATGCTAAGGCGATTCCTCCAGCTTCCTCTTCTCCACAAATCAGTTTCCTATTCCACCCATGTAATCTCCCAGTGTAATCTGGGAGCTCAGTACCATCATTCTTTGTCCAGGATCTCCTCAATCAGGCAATTTTTACATGTGTTATGGCATTTTCCAGGATGAATAAACTTAACTTGTCCAAAAGCCAAAACTTAAACAATTTACCTGAAAAGGATATTTTCTAACCCATATACATGTACAAAGTAGTTTGAAGAGCTACGAATAGCCTAGAAGTAACCAAAGACACTGCTGTTCCTTCTCCAAAGCTGTGTTTTCTTTTGGGTGTCAGTACTGCTATCTCGTTAACTAAGACTCTTGACTCCATTTTAGAATAAATTTTGTCATCAGATTTTAAACAAATGAAAACAATTATTCAATTGGAAAATAAATTGTAAATTAACATTGGAAGCCCAATTCTTTAAATAATAGTATCCACAATCTATTACTTTTAATGGGAATATGTCTGCATTCATGGCCAGGAAGTGTTGCCCTTGATGTATAATTAGTATCTGAATTACATACTCCAGATAAGCCATCTAGATTCATAAAAACAAAACAAAACAAAAAAAAAACCTGCAATTGTTACTGTAATCAAAAGCTAAAGCCCATGCAAGAGAGACAGTGTACAACCCAGTATAAGTCATGTAAACTGCAAGCTGTAGTCTCTCTACCTATTGAGTATAAAGACTCTGGAGCTAAACTGCCACCTATGACACCTCTGTAAAATGGAGATAATACTAGTACCTTCCTCCTAGGGTTGTTATAAATATTAAGTAAGAAAAAAGAAAAAAGAAAAAAAAAAATATATATATATATATATTGTAAGGGTGGCACATAGTAAATGCTACACAAGTGTTAATTATCATCACTATTAATGTTGTTATTATCTGTAAACTGAAGAGAGTTTGGACCAGATGATGTCTAAAGTTCCTTCCCCCTGAGAAAATCTGGGACTAACATAGGAGTCAGGATTTTCCATCTGAAGTATTTAGTGCTTGGCCGTATTGAAGAAACTATCCTGATTGAGGAATGAACTGATTGGCCCATCACAGCGTGAGTTATCCTCTGAACTCAGACCAGAAACCAGGTCTCCTAACTCCTAGTTCCAAGTGTTTCATAATTCCAGGCTGTTTCGCTGAGAGACCACACTAACTTGTGGACTTTTACTCAGTCTGACATGTTCTCCTTTGCTGAAATGGAGATTTAAAAACAGCAAAGTGTCTAAGATCTTACACTTGCCAAATCCACTCGTGAATCAGAGTCAAAAGCAGTTAGTTGGTGAGCAGTTGGCAAGAAAGCAGCCACTGCCCTCTACTGGTTAGTCACACACATTCTATCATTCACTTCCACTTTGGAAAGCTGGACCCACACAGGTAGGGGTGAATGGGAATGATTTTTAGGATGAAGTGAAATAACATACTGACCATAATAATAGGTGAAAAAAGCAAGTTCTGGAAGAGAACACTATAATCTTCTCTCCCTTTTCCGCATAGGGATCCTCCTGTTTCTCTGTGAACAGTTCATCATTTTTTTCATATATGCAAAACTTGATTTACATTCTGAAATCTGTCTTCTCTAGTGACACTCTTTTATAGGAGACAGTTCACAGACTTATTTACACACTGCTCATTTATGACTTCCTGTTATTTTTGTCTTTTTTCTCCTCTTTACAGAAGTCATAATTCTAAGACACACGATTTACTGGCTTCTCCCTCTTCCTCTCGGTTTCTTTTTCTTTCCTTTAAATTCTTTTCTATTGTTTGTGTTCTAGTGCTCTATTTTTATGATATTGACTTGTATTGTTTTGTTGCTGTGTGTTGTAAATAGGGCCATTAAGATTTATTGTTCCAGTGTCTCTAAAGCAAGCATGTTAAATTCAAAGGCTAACTTGGGCCAAATAAACAAGGTTTAAGTTTATATGGGCTACAAAAGCTTCAATTTTCACAGAAACGTAGGTTTATTTCGATAGACATGCTGAATACAAAGGGCTGAAATAAATGAGTAATCGTTAACCTAAAATAATAGAACACTTTAATAAAAATTAATACTTTTTCTTGAACATTAACTTACCAGATACTGAATAACTGCACAAATTAGTAAGTGTAATGCAAATAAACCTACTTTTCTTGTTCTCCAAAAACTAAATATTTCCTGTTGTGCACAACAAACAAGTCAGTCCAAGACTAATGACGTGGCCATCGGCTGCTAAAATATTCACTGCTAGGATTAGTGTTGAGGAATGGTGCACCTGCGTGTAAAGGAAATGAATGCAACCTGATTATAGTAATAAGTTGTTAGTGAATGTTGTGGTTCGTTATTAATAATTATTTATAACAGGATATTGTAAAAATTAAGTTATGAAAATTTTATTAAAATGTTTCTTACATACCATTATATTGGCTGGACCGTAAAAATATTCGTTGCTGGCCTCGAGTTTGACTTGCTTGCTCTAATTCCAGGCTTCCTGGAGGTTAGCCTGCTCTGTTTTCATGCAAACAAATTTGATTCTGTTTTGACAAAAAGCAGCAACAAATTCCCAGATAAATAAATAGTCTTACTACTGTTACCCAGTTTGCATTGAACACCATTCTTTTAAATGGCTTTCCTATTAAATATTCAAGGCCCTGAGATGGGGATTCCTTTTTGGTATGGTTTCATATTCACATGATCTTACCAATTTTTCTTTTAAAACTTTCCACTATCCTTCCCTTTCATAGCAATGATTACCAGCCTGCTTCTAGCTCTTAGTCCCTCACATCTAGTTCCAGCAGCCTTCTATGTGGTCCCGCTGCCCACACCTTCTCCATCCTCCAACCCAGTCAGGGAACCACTGGATCTGTTTCCCCGGGTGCAGTGTTCAGTGCCTCCCCTCCCGGAGAATCCTGTGAACTCCTTTTGTTTTTATCAAGTCCAGACTCAGTCCTAACATTCAAGATCCTTCAGGATTTGAACTCTTACCTTCTCACATTTTTATTTTGACTTTATCACTTTATCACATCTCCCTGTCCTATAAGGGCTATGCTGGTTCCTTCATCTCCCCTCCCTCGAATGTGAAACTGGCCTACCCCTCACACCACTGGCCTCCACCTACCAAATCCTACCCATCCTTCAGGCTTCAACTCAAATGCCCCTCTTCTGCTGCCGAGGAGCACCAGTTTCCCTAAGCCAAACATTCACCTCTCCCTTCCCTGACAGCATCCATTATCATTCTTCCTTTCTCTTCTGATATGATTCAACTTATTTTTTAAAATATGTTTTTATTGATGTCAGAGAGAGGAAGGGAGAGAGAAACATCAATGATGAGAATTATTGATTGGCTTCCTCCTGCATGCCCCCAACAACCTAAGCATGTGCTCTGACTGGGAATCGAATTGTGACCTCCTGGTTCATGGGTCAATCAATGCTCAACCACTGAGCCACACCAACTGGGCTCAACTTTATACTTTATTGTCTCCTGCCTTGTGTTTTCAGCATGTCCATATATGCTCACCACATTATAAATTCCTAGATAAACTTTTTTGGCATCTATTTCTTATAATATCTTCCAAGTCCCTATTTTCTAGTATAATAAGAACTAAGGTTAGCTAGCACTAACTTTTAACTCTCCCTAAATGCTCAACTCATTTAATTCTCACAAAAGCCCTATGGAATAGATACTACCTTCCTCATTTTACAATGAAGGAAATCAAAACACAGAGAGGTTAAATAACTTACCCAAGATCACACAGCTAGTAAGTAGCAGGGCTGAGGTTCAAACTCAGTCATTCTGGTTTCAGAGTCCATCTCTTAACCACTGAACTATCGATATGTATGGTGACGTAGTAGGCCCTCGGTAATGCTTGGTCTGCTATTTGCAGGAAAGCACTACAGAAATACATTGCTGTTGTCATAAAAGAGAACCACTTCCTTATTTTTCAAGAGTAAAACTTAGGTCAGTGTATATGACAGGTGTGTCCTTATAAAAATGCCAAGAAGCTGTGCCCATCATTTCCCACACCTGTCTAGGTCAGCGTTTTTCAACCGCTGTTCCGCGGCACGCTAGTGTGCCGCGAGATGTTGCCTGGTGTGCCGTAGGTGCAGACAAGACAAGAATTTTATAATTTTTCACTATTTTGTTTACTTAATATTTCATAATAAAGTAATTATAAAATACTTTCTTTGTGTTTATTTGATTCCTATTCAAGAGAATTACTTTATATATAGTCAATATAGGCACAGAGTTAAATTTTTTAACATTTTCTAATGGTGGTGTGCCTCGTGATTTTTTTCATGAAACAAGTGTGTCTTTGCCCAAAAAAGGTTGAAAAACACTGGTCTAGGTCAATATTTGTTCATTCCAAGGCATTGGTGCAAAGGCAGGGAAGAAGGTCAAGGTCAGGAGTGTTTTTGAAGTCACCTAGACTTATTGCTAACTGCTGGCTTTGCCTGTCCTTCATCCTCCTGTTCCAAAAAAACAGAATAGTTCCAAATTGCTTGTGTAAGTGCATAAAGATCCTAAAACTGGATCAGCGTGATGCCTTCTACTTATTACTCTAACGCATATATTAAGCAGGAAAAAACACCAATTACCCAAAGAGCCTGACTTTTCATGTCGTGATCTCCTGTTTTCTGCTTAGAACACCTTGCACAGAATATATCTAAATCACATCTGGAAACTTGCCAATACTTGAGAGAAGAGCTCCAGCAGATAACGTGGCAGACCTTTCTGCAGGAGGAGATTGAGAACTATCAGAACAAGGTATACTCTGGAGGATGAAAGTGGGAGGGGTTTTCCCGGAGGGGATTTGATCAAGACTACCAAGGGCCAAAGGAGGAATGCCTTACAACAGATAACAGATTTCTGTGTACCTCTTGCTTCCAGAGCTGATTATGTACTAAGGCATTGTCTTCTGACTGAAATGCCAGCATGCAAAATTTCAGCAGTAGCAAACAAATCCTATTGTCCCTATAACTGTACCCACATCTCCTGTCATTGATCAACAGGGCACTAAATTAAGCAGTTTCCAGAAATCTCAATGAATTGGGATTTGTCCCTTTATCATGATGGAACGTTGGTTCAAGATCAGGAAGTTCATGTAAAATACGTAATCTAAGCCTCATGTTCCAAGAGTTAAGAAGGAGGAGTTTAGAGAGTATGTATACAGAGAGGTTTGGAATCCATGATTGTCACTCCAGTCTGAACCTGACAGTGTGAGGCTGACAAGTGTTGCTACTTGACTTTTTTCTATTAAACAGTGTGATCAGCAAGCGACCAAACTGGGAGGGCAGACCTGGAGAAGAGAACTTTCAATTATTTAGTCTCCCTTTGGGTAAAGAAAATGCTGTGTTTTCCCCTGATACAAAAATTGAGACTTAGGAAGGACTATAGAGAGTATCTAGGCTAATGCTGCCCTTTGTTTTACATCGGAGGACACTAATTTCCATCGGCATATGGTGGGAGAGTGCAAACACCAGGACTAGATCAGGACTCCAGCTCCTAATTCAGTGTTCCTTCCACCCCACCATATTGGTGGAAACGGTCTTATACTAAGGTTGTGGGAACAGCCAAACACCACCACTGGTTCAGGTTATCCTGTCACTAAATTGGAGAATTAAACAGGACAGGTTGTGGAATAGCAGCACACCCTTGGTTTGCCTTTGATATAGCACATAACACCAGCAGCTAAAGGGAAGTACTGAAGGAAGCAGGGAAGCAGGAAAGCAGTAAGCAGCAGCAAAGTGTCTGGAAAGGGATTCAGAGTCAGAGATGCTAGGATGTGACTCCCAGCTCCGATACCTATCCACTATGAAATCTCCCTGAGCACCTGTGCCCATCTATGGAAAACAGGAGGATGCTCTTGTGAAAATGAAATAAGACAAGGTGTCATAAAGCACCTAGCTCATAACAGGTACACAATACTTGTAATTGAGTCTCTCCCCTCCCCCCCATTGTCCCCTTCCCCTAGTAAAAGGTGTTAAATTCCCCAAGGCAGAAGAATTGCTTAAAAGAAGGCCCTGCTTTGCTATTCTCCACAGCTCCGGGTTAAAGCAGTGACCTGTATTTTCATCTTCTGCTACATACCCGTGTTTCCCCGAAAATAAGACATCCTCGAAAATAAGACCTAGCACATGGAAATATAAGACATCCCCTGAAAATAAGACCTAATGCAACTTTGGAAGAAAAAATTAATATAAGACACTGTCTTATTTTCGGGGAAACAGGGTAGATGCTCATAATATCTTCCCCGCTCCCTTTGCCACCAAGGAGGCAAGAGAGGAATTGAAGGAGATGAGGAGGCACTTGGAAGCAATCGTTATGTAAAAAAAACTGGCCAACTGTTTACTTTTAAACCGCTAGCCTTTTTGAAGCCATTTCCAAAGAAGGATTTTACAAAAGAGGAATAGTTAAACTCATTGAGCCAAGGATGTGGGTAACCGTGTAAGCTAACCTGTCTCCCTCTTTAACAGCAGCGGGAGGTGATGTGGCAGTTGTGTGCCATCAAAATCACAGAAGCAATACAGTACGTGGTGGAGTTTGCCAAACGCATCGATGGATTCATGGAACTGTGTCAAAACGATCAAATTGTGCTTCTCAAAGCAGGTATGTGCTTTGCAAGTGAATTTTGAGATCTCTTCCTAACCTGCTTTCACCTACCTATTAAAGAAATGCTTGGTAAGGAAGGTGTCGGGAACAGTTTTCTCCGATGATAATAGCTTAGGTTTCTCTTAGCAGAGACTGAGTTCTTCTGAAAGGTTTTGGAGCTATTGGCACGAAACATTCCCTCCGTAGTCTTCTCCTCTGAGTGGAAAGATTAATTTGAAGAAACTCCTGCAGTCCCTAATTTTACCATCACCTGTGTTTTATTTTACACTTCAGGTCCTCAGAGGTTCCAATACGTTGTTAGGAAAAAGACTCGAACCTCAGAGAGAGCCCTGATTTTTTTTTTTTTTTTTTGGCTTGTTTGATTTTTACATTTTTTAATTGATTTTTTAAAAGGGAATGGGGGGGATGGAGAAAGAGAGAGAGAGAGAGAGAGAGAGAGAGATTGATTTTGTTGTTCCACTTATTTATGCATTCATTGGTTGATTCTTGTATTTGCCTGGGATAGATGAGGTCCGTGCTCTAACCAACTGAATGACCTGGCCAGAGCTTTTTGCTTGTTTTAATAAATATGAATAAATGTTGATGATCAACTCTGAAACTTCTTATTGCAAGACAGAGGGGTGGCAAGGCAAAGAAGTGATTTGTAAATCACTCCTCTCTTCCGTGAAGCAGGCCTTGGCTTCAACATGGGTGAACTTTGCCCTTCTAGACCGAGAGGGAATGTGACTGAGAGCCCACTGGCTGCACAACCCCCAGGCGCTGACTCAGAAACGGGTCCCTCCATCAGCGCCTTTGAAATAAACTCGCCCAGGTGGACTAACCCGCGCCCTCCTGCCTTTGCTTAGGTTCTCTAGAGGTGGTGTTCATCAGAATGTGCCGTGCCTTTGACTCTCAGAACAACACCGTGTACTTTGATGGGAAATATGCTAGCCCTGATGTCTTCAAATCCTTAGGTAAGGAACCCTCTGGCTGTTTGTCTTTAAATCGAAGTCATAGGAGCAGGTGGGAGCTGAGTGAAACCTCTTTTTGAACAATGTGGAAGCTGGTTATTTGGAAACAATAATTAAAGAATTTTATACCTGTTTTACTTTATAGCCAGACACTATAGAAAATTCCCATGCCTCCAATGCTTTTTGCCTATAGTACCAATAAAGATCTAATGTTTCATTTTACCTAGTTGGTAACTGAAGACATTTCTATTACATATCAGTGTCCTTCCAGATTTTAAGATCCAGATAAGCAGGGGGCATATTATTTAGATAGATCACAAGATGTGATCTGATACATCAAATCAAGCAAAGAGCTCAAAGTCTGCCCTCAGGTAATTATTAATGAGAATTAAGTGTAGATCTCAGAGAAATAAGGTATTACTGAAATAAAGTGAAACTGACATACACTTTATAAATAATTTATATTGGATTTTTATAATTTAAATAAAGTAGGTCATCGTTATTAAGAATGGGACAGTATCCAAGATAGCTTATGTGAATTTAAAAACACCAAAATGACAGAAGGGGTGTATAGCCTGTTTCCATTTAAAATACAGGGTGGTAAACGTAGGTTTACTGTTGTGAGTACGTGAAAGTTTATTCTTGTAATATTATTAATTATTGTATTATTTTCCATACAATAATGTGTGTGTGTGTGTGTGTGTGTGTGTGTGTAAATATAATGTGCAAATCTGAAAAAATAGACACCAAACTTAACCAGTTTTTGGGAAATGGATCATTTTTTTTTTTATAGGACTTTCACATTCTATAATTTCAGTTCTGTACCAGTTACAATGATTTTTCCACTATAATGTCATTTGTTAGTATTTAGAGGAAATAAAGACAAACATCAAAATGAGAGGTTTTCACACATTTCAGTAAGATTGTAGCTGTTAAACTCTGTTAGTTAAGAGTGTGAGCTCTGAAGTCAGGCACCCTGACTTAGAATCTCAGGTTGTTACTTCCTATCTGTATAACATTAGGTACATCACTTTCCTCTCCAACTTTGATTTTTTTCACCTCTAACATGGGGATAATAAAAATAATACGTCCTTAATAGGGCTGCTGTGAAATAGTAGGAAACCCAGAGAAATTTCTTAGAGCAGTATCTAACATAGGAAATATTCAACACAAGTTTACTCTAATTGATTTGAATGGTGATATAATGATGATGATGGTAGGGATGGTGGGGTAGTGATGTGGTGTTGGCTAAAGAGATATTTCTTCTAAGATTTCAAACTCTTAAACTGTAGAAATATTACCACAATCTCTTTTTACCTTCTTTCATATTTTTTCCTAGGATAACCAAAATCCTAAACTCTCTGTATTTTAATGTTGGCAGGTTGTGAAGACTTTATTAGCTTTGTATTTGAATTTGGGAAGAGTTTATGTTCTATGCACCTGACGGAAGATGAAATTGCATTATTTTCTGCATTTGTACTGATGTCAGCAGGTAACATAACCAAATAAAAATAAAATGGTTTAAAAATTGTCCAGGTAAAGACTTTTTACAAGGTCCATAACTTTTAGAATATTCGAGAGGCTGCCAGAGGCTGCCTCACTTATTAAGTCTGTTTTTAACTTTTTCAAATAACAACCTTCCCACACACACACATACATCTGCCTTTCAAGAAGACTCGTGCCATTCTGATAAAATCTTAAGAAATGAGAATTGAGTAAAACCCAGTCCACAATTAACCTCCTGACACCAAGAGAAATAGTGTGGTGGAGTCAGGTTGCCCTTCTTAATATCAGTCTCTAAGATAACATCCAACTTTTCCCTGGAATCCACTTGGATGTCATCTACAAGTTTATGTGCATTTAATCCATGTTTTACCCTTCACCAGCACTGCCTCTTAGAGATCATCAGTTTACTATCTTCTAATTCTTCGAATTCTTACACATAAAAAATTCATCCTAAATTACCAACTTTTAAGTCATCTGGAATTCTTTTGACAGTTTTAGTTGCCTTGTAAGGTTGTTTCCATAATTTCCAGAAAGGCTAGCAGAATTGCTATGAATATTTCATTCAGAAATGTTATTCTCAGAAAGGCTTGAAGGGCCATAGTGATTTAATTGTACTTGCATATATATGACCTTAGGTTTAAATTGCTACCTTTTTTGGAAGGGGATAACCCTCCCTTCCTTTAATACCAATAAGAATGGAAATCTTTAATACCCTTTATACCTGTCATAGGCCAGTTTTCCACTCCCTTAGGAATATACAGTATTTTGAAAGAATAGTGAAACTGGCCTGCTAGTCTCTAACTCTGCTTTGTGGTATGATACTCTGGGTCCAAGAGTCAGGAGAAATTGGGTATCTGGCACCATGTTGGTGGAACACTAAGGGGTATCATTTCTCATGTACAGATCGCTCATGGCTGCAGGAAAAGGTAAAAATTGAAAAACTGCAACAGAAAATCCAACTAGCTCTTCAACATGTCCTACAGAAGAATCACCGAGAAGACGGAATACTAACAAAGGTGAGAACCAACAGTTTCCAGTTGGCATAACTTGAATTACCCCTTGCCTTTGTAGGTCATCTGACCAGCCCCCAAAAGTATCAGTAAGCAACAGGCCACTGAAAGGAATAAATATCTCCATTTCAAAGAAGTTCTGTTGGGCCAAACTTCAGGTTAAATTCTATTTATTATCATTGCTTATAAAGAGCCCTAAAGTAATGGGAAATAATGTAGTAGAATTTTTTTAACAATTAATATATTCTGGAAATCCTCTTCCTAGTCCTTCAGAGTTGAACACAAAGCAGAGTTAATGTCTGCAGTGATAGAAATTAGAGAATCTTTGAATGTTTAAAGAGAAAATTATGAAGTACTAAAACAATTACCCAGCATAACCTTATATTCTGATATTAGTTCAATTTCCATTAAACTCATCATCAACCATAAATGACTTTCGTATTTTCTTCATCAATTTGCCATTACTACGTTGTATTCAAAGCACAAGGTTTCATTTTTGCTAATTATTATATTTCACAATAAAAGCATAATTAAGATGTCAGTTTAAAATATGCTAATGTTCTTCAGTGCTGGAGCCAGGAGTATGTATTTGGTCTTAGAAAAATCAGCCCCTTCTTAGATTATTTTATGTGTTTTGTTGTTCCAGAGGATGATTTGAAAGTGTGTGTTTTTTTTTCTTCTTGTTTATTTATTTACTTACTTATTAATACTTACTTTCTATTTTCTTCTGATAGCTAGGTTAGGTCAGGGAGCAGAAGTTGGGGGTTAATGGTTGCTTTGTTTTTGATACTCTTTCTCGAGAAGAAATTCATTGTCATTAGAGTTTAATGTATGCCTGATGTTCTATGATATAACTCTATCCCCATTTATTTTTACCAATCCTCTATTACTAGCCATTTAAGTTGCTTTAAGTGCATTTCGCCATTATAAACAGTGTTGTAAAGATCATCCAGATTCCCTGAATTTTTATTCTGATGCCTGTTCTCCCCTGACAACTTGCCCTTTCTTCCACCTTACAGTTAATATGCAAGGTGTCTACATTAAGAGCCTTATGTGGACGACATACAGAAAAGCTAATGGCATTTAAAGCAATATATCCAGACATTGTGCGACTTCATTTTCCTCCGTTATACAAGGAGTTGTTCACTTCAGAATTTGAGCCAGCGATGCAAATTGATGGGTAAACGTATCACCTAAGCACTTCTAGAATGTCTGAAGTACAAACATGAAAAAAAAAAAATATTAACCGAGACACTTTATATGGCCCTGCACAGACCTGGAGCGCCAACACAACTGCACATCTTTTGGTGATCGGGGTCAGGCAAAGGAGGGGAAACAATGAAAACAAATAAAAGTTGAACTTGTTTTTCTCATGCATATGATTTCCATTATGCCTACAGATATGGACCCTTTTTCTGTCTCGACTTCTTGATCATTGACCTCTGTTTACAACAGAAGGAGGGTACTAAAGTTGGAGGATTTCCTTTTCTCGTAGCTCACTGCCCACAGACTTTCTGCAGAGTCACCAACCTGTTAGCGACAAGAGAGTTCAGCAATAATCGGTGACCGGTGTGCATAGCGGAGGTTGCGGCATTACTTTGCACAACTTGCTCTTTGTCTCATGAAGGAAGTTTTTATTTTTTTTTTTCACCGATTATTGCCAGTCGGCAGGATGGCACGTAAAGGGTCCATAGCACTAGCAACAATAGCATTATAATATATTACAGGGTAAATGGGCATGAAGACTATATATAGCTAAAAGAGATATTGTTTATATATTGTTTTAATTAATATAAAATGTAGTTACTGGTGTAGCTTTTCCTGTTGAATTGATAAGGCACTTTCATTTTGCACCTTTTTCTTTAAATTAAATGCTAGCGTGTTCACTGTCGTGTCGCATGTGCACCAGAAACACAAGTTTAACTGAGAAGGCTTGGAAGGTACGTCGGGAGGTATTTATGCTGCTGTTTACAAAATTACTTTCAAAAGACTGGCTGGTCATATCTAGAAATCACAATGTTGGATTATTATTTTTTTACGTGTGAATTTGGAATTAGAAACTGAACTCCCCCTAAATTTCACCTTGCATTTGGGTAAGTTTAAGGATAGATGTGTTTATGCTTCATACAAAGTTGAATGATTGAGATTGGCGCTGTGGACTTATACCGTCATGCATATTATTTTTTTTAAAAAAAAAGCTTTTCTAAATGCAACCTACAGGAGGCAGGGGAGGGGAGGCTCGTTTTATACAATTCAGTAGTTATGTAGACTCAGCCTCAACTTGGAATTCGTATGCTTTGAGAACAAATCAGTAACCAGAATAGTTTATTGGAAATCTAGCTTTGATTATAAGAAGGACCCAAAGATTTATATGTGGAGCAAACACACACTCCCCACATGAGGACATAAAGCATTTCCTCTGTGAAGAGTATGTTCTTGGTATAATCTAGGAACAGTAAGGGTGGATCTCAGAGTGAACTATTTCTAGACTCGCTGCCTCTAGATGCTATAATTCTAGAACATGGCTCTCCATATTTCACAGACAATGAGTGAGAGGGTGAGGGAGGCATACCATGTTGAATTAGCTTCTATTATTTAAATATTAAATATTTTAAGCCTTTAAAGTGAAGTCAGTGCTAACTGCAAACATGTACTTTTGTATTTATCGTTGCTAGAAAACTGTGGACTGTAATTTATTTCATAAAATATTTAGAAGATTGTTTGGCTTTGGTGTTCAGGTGAGAAATAGTGAGGGTTTTGGTTTTTGTTTTTGTTTTTAAATTTCGTGGATTTTTAAAAATAATTCCCAGTGGGGGAAGGGAGAAGAAACTGTCTGACACACAAGTGAGCATATTTTAAAAATAAGTGACCTTTGGGATTGTAGGCATTGAGATGATGATTTGAGTCCCACTCCCGTTAAGAAGAGTCAACCTTCTGGTCTGCCATCACAGGCCGTGTTTGTTCAGGAAAGGGAACACCCTCCCATCGTGCGAAGGCGGGGTGTCCAGGAAGCCCTTTAGAGTGGAGAAAGTGTCTCCTGGGCCCCCAGGGCCCTCCTGACTCTCCTTGGGGACGGTGGCTCCTGGTGTCAGGCTAGATCCCAGCGCAGGCTTCCTGGAGCCCTCCACTCTGCTCAGACCTCCGCTGACTTCCTGACTTGCTTCCTGGGGGACTTGGAAAAGGAGAAGGAATTATTCACACAGAAGTGTGTATGAAGCCTAAATGACATCTAACTTTTGTTCCCCCCCCAAAAATATAGTAAGGGTTTAACCATAAATAGAAGACGAGAATATTATTTACTTAAATTTCTTACAAGCATATAAAACTTTATGAGTGTTTATATAGAGAGGTTAACTATAAGCATATAGTATTTATATTTGGGCAGGAGGGGTTAAATCAAATTTTTAATTTAAATAAGCATAGTTCCTTTAAAGAGCAATAGTATTTATACTCTGAAAAAAGTTATCAAGCTTAGTTCAGTTATTTATTTGTCTGTGTTTCTCCTATTGTTTCTCCTTTGGGGAGAAATGGTGTATTTTTATTTTGGTTTGGTTTTGTTTTCTTTGTATTTTTGTCGTTCTGATTCACTAAATTTGGGGGTGATTTTATTAAAGTATATTAACTTCTTTTTAACCAAAGCTTTCTGAATATGACCAGCCTCAGGTGCTAGCGCATTAAAGAGCAACTAAACCTAATTCCAGTGTCCATTTATGAAATGAAAAGAGTTCGTTGAACTTCTCTAGGGGTGAGAGAGAACATAATGTTGAACTTAAAAGAAATTCTTTTTCCCATAAAGGATTTTGCATGTACAGAATGCAAAAAATAAAAAAATAAAAATTATGCTCTAATCACAGTAATAGTCACACCATGGTGACAGTGCTTTTAGAGTAAACCAACATACGTTGACACGATGCTGCTACTAGATCTTTGAGAAAGAAAAGCAGGTGTGGACTTTAAGAGCAAAATACTTCTACAGGGTAGGAACAGGAGGATCGCAGAGGCATGTTCGGTGACGGGAGGGAACAACTGACTATTATTTGGATCAAAGTTGGGATCTGAAGTTAAACAATAAATTCAGCTGAAAAAATCTGACGTATTGAAAAGAATGTGAAAAACTTTGCATTTGCATTTTCTTCCTTCTTATAGAAACACCTGTGTGATGATACAAACTGGTGATCCAGAAAATTATCCGTAATAGTTCTTCTAAAACTCCCTAAACTTAAACAGTCTTTTGATTATTGGAATCACGTCATTGTCATCACAGCTGCTGTAAGGCCTTTTATACAATGTTTTACATCAGCTAAATGAGGCTTTTGTACAGAGTCCCAATGTCATCGGTTCCAATGGTGTCCAAATGGTTGCATTCTATTGTGAAGAAACTGGCTTTGGTCACAATGAAATCAAAAATGCAGATGAAAGTGCTTTTTTTGGGACAGTTTGAAAATTGTGTTAAAGCTATGGGTTGTTTTTTTTTTTGTTTGTTTGTTTTTAAGTGTTCAGCATCCTAATTTACGTTAAAGCTATAGATTTTTTAAAAAAAATTTTTAAGTATTCAGCATCCTAATTCACCCTTCCTAACTTAAGGAAAACATGACTTAAGACACTGCTTCTAAGTTTGGTTGTTCTTTATAGTGTGGATACCCAGATGTCTGTGAGCGTATAAGGGTAGGCTGAGGGTCAAGAGAGGAGGGAGTGAGTGTGTGTGTGTGTGTGTGTGTGTGTGTGTGTGTGTGTGTGGTTTTTGTGTATGATGTGTGTCAGACCGCTTCTAGGCTACTACGTGTCAATGGAAAAGAAAATGTATTCAAAATACTTAAATCAAAAAAACTAGAAGATGGGAATAAAAAGATTTATTCTATACAAAGCCTTGTCTGGACCACTTTAGAGAGACTTCTATTTTTTTAACCCTTCTATAAATATTTGATGGCACTTGAAATATTCCTGCAATAAAATGTGATTTGTGTAAAGAAAAAAAAAGATTTTGTAATGTGAAACAAAGAAAGAAAGTAATGTAATTTTCTAAAAAAAAAACATACAAACAAACAAACTTTGTATTATTTTCTTGATGGAATTTGTCTATCTGTCTTTGGGAAACTTTTTATTTCATTGAATGTGCCATAGTAGAGATATGTGTTTTTAGTTTTAGACTAAGGAATAGCTGTTCGTGTTCCGACATTCCAAAATGCAAAACAACCTAGTAAAATCTTTAATGAAAAGGTTTAAGTAGGATGTAAGCTTCTCTCATCGTTGCTTTTTTGCACATGTTCTTCATTCCTCTCTAGTGCAATATGTACATAGAGCACTCGCGGGTGTACCTTGATCCCTCAGGGAAAAATACATATTTGTACAGTTGTTATTGTTGTTTCTTTTTATTTTTGGCTAAGGAATGTCGACTGAATCACTTGTTATTGTTGAGGGGCAGCCAGATAATAATCCTAAAGCCACTGTTTCCAACATTGATTGTTCAAATCATGTGTCCTTCCAGTGCTATTAAGATACTAATAATAAAAAAGTTATTTTCTGACAGTTCTTTGTGCTGATTGGTGACAAACAAACAAACAAAAAAAGGGTACATAAGCACCTTATGATTGACTTACTGTGAATGACAATCCATCTTGATATCAACAATAGGAAGCCCTATCATTTTGGAGTTGGGGTTAAGAGTCAGAAACAATGTGCTCAGGGATCTTCTAAAACTCTTTAAAACAGGGTGGCCAGTACTACTGGGACAAATTGTGTTTTTTATTATGAATAATCACGATAATGCTATCCCTCCAAGGCACAGTGAACTGTGTAGAACTAACTGCATGTGTGTAAACGTCACTATCATCTCATTTTGTTGAGTTCAAAACGTGTGCTCTTCAGTCTTGTGTACTTAAAAACACTGAGTAACTTCCAGGACTGTGGGAAGTTATGCCAGTGTGTTCAAAAGATAAATGAGCAGGTCATCCACCAACAGAGAGCATCATTCAGAGGACAACCCTGCATACTCCATTTACCGTTTCTCAAATAGTTAAAATACTTATGATAAAAATATGTATAGCCTTCTACAATATATTAAAAACTACTCCAATTCCACATAATATGGATACAAATGTTTAAAACAAAGGAGATAAGGGTCCTGCCTATCAGTGACGTGAGAGAGATAAAAGGTAAAATACGTTTTTTTATAATAGCAAACAACTACTAATTTCTCTGTGCTCACCTCTAGAAGCAAACCAAAAAAACTCCCTACTTCACATTTGTAGTTTTTAATCTGTCGAAGAAATACAAGAGATAATGTTTAAAGATAAACAAAACCCACTTGGTAACAATAGCATGAGCCAGTTTTTAGGGTCACATTTTACATTTTTTTAAATACAGCTTTGTTCTCGTATTTTAATATATTGCTTTCCATAAAGGCAGTGAACCTTAGGGTAATTGTTGCCTTTGATTCTTCCATTTCACACTTGGAAGACACATTGGATTTTTTTTTTTTTTAAGACCACACAAGAGTATAATTTGGAGAAACTTTTCATGTTTTTTGCACATGTTCTTTATGTCATTTAGATGAAAAGGAAGCTTTTATCTTGTTTTTTTTTAAAATAAATACCAAGGAAATGGGCAGAAATCTCTCTCATATATGTATACACATATTCATACATATATGTAAATATATATACATATACACACACATTATTGATAGTTTTACATATTCTAGCATTTGATTGCCACTTCTTATAAAGGGATGACCTAACAGAACCCCATAAAAACAACTTCATACAATAGATCAGATTATGTGCTCAGAAAGGCAATTGCAACATTAAATCTTGATCTATTTCTAATAGTCTACCATACTATCCCTAAACACTAGTATTAGCAAAGAGTTCCACCAGACTTCTTTAAAGAGACCTTCCTATGATTGTTTATCCTTAAGAGATGAGAAGGCTAACAAGCAATGGCTTTACAAAGCAATTGGTTTCACTCCTGGGTCAGTTTTGTCAGGCTCCCTGGTTTCATACTAAGGAAATATCTCAGAAGGGGGTGGGGGTGGCAGATCTTCACATTTAAGCAAACCCTCAGAACTTCAAGCAATAAATACATTCAGTCATTTATTTATTTATTTATAAATGAGTGACAGCCTAGTGAATCCTAAGAGAAATGTTTTTTCAGCAGTGAAACATAAAATGGAGTCTTGTGTTAAGAAAGTGAATATGAATGTTTTAAATGGATGCTTAGAGAATCCGTGTTTGCTGTTTACATTTAGTATGTTTACCACACTAGCTATATCACACTTCTTTTCTTATTTTTCTTCTAAAAACTAATGAAAGATAGCTCGCTCTCAGCTTTGACATGCTGCACATGCCATTATGTTGTTCTCTAAGAGCAACTATTGATAAAATTTCTCCAGTGTTCATGTGTGATTCCTTTCTCATTCATTATCACTTCAATGTGGATGAATACTATTTCTGGGAACTTGGTCATCAGTGAGCAGATTACATATGTAAATGCAGATCATTCTTGAGCATATAGTGAATATGATTTCACACACATGAAAAAAAAATTCATATGTACTGTACACACTTTCCTGAATCAGACATTCTCTTCTATCCACAATTGTTTGAAATCTCACATAAAACAGTGGTAAATTTTTATACATTAGGACATTAGCTGGCTGCTTCTTTAAATGTCCCTGTATTGTCTGCCTGCTCCTTTTGTGGAGATGTGTTTTTGTATTGGATGTTTGGGCCAATGGGAGGCTTCAAGCTACAACATATTTTCCCAGTTTAAATATATTTAACATATGACAAACCCCAGACAAGGCTTTTAATATGTATAAAGAACTGCAGTGTTAGGTGGTTTATTTGCAAACCGTTTTCAATGTTGTCCATTTTTATGGCACCTTTAACAATATTCTTGTTTCCAAAGTACAAAAAAAATAGATTAAATATCTAGCCATAACTGAATGTCAAGCAATAAAACAAATGACTTTTGTGCATAGACTTAAAAAAAATACAAATTTTAGACATCTGCATGTAAATGCAATCTCTTGTTTACTGCTTTCTTCAACTCGAGCAATTGATTCTTTATTTACTGTTAACTTAAGAACTTGTAATGGCCTGTAAACATTTTCTCTCTTACTCTTCTTTCAAATTTACCTTCACCACTGCTTTTGAGTCATAATATTTAATGTTGTTCTGCACATCTCTATACAGTTAACTTTTTGGCTTTCATTCTGTATAGATAAGAAAATGTTATATTATAAACAGCCTACTCAGTGCAAATATTTATCTGTTTATCAAATCCACAATATGCTGTATAATACTGGTTTTACTATATAATCTATTTTAGACATAGCTGTTTAGAACTAGAGTGTGCTATTTTTGTGTTTTTCTGATGTGTGGTGCTAGATAAGTTACTTTTGTGAACAAAAAAAACAAAAAAAAACAACAACCTTTTATTCCTAGACAATACCACCTTTGGGTCTTGTTAATTTCACTGAGTATAACTATATATTTGTATATATATATACATATATATATTATATATCTACCTATGCCCAACTGGCAGCTGTATCAGAGTGCTGGATTTGGGACATGCTTTTCTCTTTAAATACATACTATCATTATATAAATTATTCTAGAGTGTATTTAATTAGGATAAAATTACTTCCTTAGTATGGATATTTGACATCAATAGGGTGAATTTGTTTATAAATATGAATATATGAAAACTTATTAGCATTGACTTTATGTTTACTACTTGGCTTTATACCATATCTCCTAAGCTGAAAAATAATTTGCCAGGCCTTCAAGATCCTAAAGAAACACTCTAGTTTAATGGAGTAATCCTTTTTTTTTTTCCTTCTTACTAAGGAATTATATTATTGACACCTGACAGGGTTGTGTACTTAGCTCCTATTATAGATAATAGGCATTTATATAAAATATCCTTCATGGCTTGATGGCGGAATAACCCTTTCCCCTCCTACCTGAACCATGAGAGTTCTGAAGACATCCACTGTCATGTCAGAACATGGCCCAATGGAGCTAATTCAACAAAGGATGTTCTATTTTAATTATGACCTCAGCCAGTTCTATGAACTGAGTGAAGGGCCTTCATGTTTAAAGTCATCATTTAATCATGAGTTTAAACTCTTTCAACCTATTCTCCCAAGACCTATTGGCATTGTTAAAAATCCAAGTATATCAAATATCTAACTAAGGATGTAATTAACCTTATTAAATATTGATTAGAATTGTTCTGTAATATTACTGAATTTGTAAGATCTTTAGCAAAAATTTTTGAGCAATTTATAAATATAGAGCAAATGTTTCTGTTTACTGCACTTTTTGTAATTGAAGGTGATAAATTCTCAAGCCATGGTTATTGGCTTCCACGCACTGCATATTTACCCACAATTTAGACAGCTTCCATTTTTATGGAAGAGTTGCTGTTAACTTAATTACAAATGCAATCATGTGGTTAATGAAAGCTGATGCTAATAGTTAACCTTGTAAAGTGAATTGGCTACAGTTTAAGGAGAAATCTCTTTTACTACAAGTCATGTCATTCCTTACTGCTTCACTTAGAAAGAGATGGAAAAATTTTTTTTTTTTAAAGCACCACTCAGTATCCTAAGCTTCCTGGAAATAGAGATTATATTTCTTTGTGTCTGTACAATGGCCAGCACATGCCAGCATTTGATCATTATTAAGAAACAATGAGTGTGTCCCAATCCAAATTCTTTTTCTGGGGTGTCACAGTAAATTTGTAAGGTATGCCAAGCCTATAATTAATACTTTCTTCTACAACCAAGTATTAGACCCACATTTAAAAAAAGACCACATGAAATGCTGATTCTAATTGTGTGTAGGTCTTGGGGATTAAGCACACAAATTTCACAAAACTCGTGAGTAACAAACTCAGCCTTCTGTAAATATACGTGCAAGTTTGGAAACAGTAATACTGTACCTATAAATATATCTGTCTGTTTTGTGTACAGTACGTAAAAAATCCTTTTCTGCCACACTAAAAATGCAAGCCATTTCTGGGTATCCTAAAAATAGTATTGTACTAAAACTTTGCTAATGATCTTTATTAGAAGATCATCCAACTTTTCACATACATTGGGTTTTCTTTTCAATTCACTCTTATAGTAGTCTGCTTATTTCCTGCTGTTTGTTATTTTATTGTGTCCTGAATTTAAAAAGATATTTTGATTCATTTTGTAAATACAAAGCTGTAAAAAAAAGAGAGATTTAATGTTGTCTTTTAAATACTCCGATTTTCATTCTAATATGAATGTTGTTATATTGTACTTAGAAACTCTACCTTTAATATTACATTACCTTTATTAAAAGTGCATTGAACACATCAATTTTAGATGTGCTTTATGTACTATTATCCTATAATAAAACTTCAGCTTCTAATGGAACACTTGTCTTGTTTTTCTTCTTTTTTGCTTATTGAGTTACATTATACATCGTTTTCTAGCTTACAGCTTGTCTCCAGAGAACAGTCTAATAGAGCTTGCTACTCAAAATGTGTGGACAGATCAGTAACCCTGGCATCACCTGTGTGACCTTGACCGTATTAGAAATGCAAATTCCCATGCACCACCCCAGAACTACCAGATCAGAATCTGCATTTTTACAAGATCCTCAGGTGATTCATACTAAAGTTTGAGATGCACTGATCTATAATTTAAAAGAAAAAAACAATTCATTTCCATTTTGCAGAGAGAAAGCATGTACAAGGATCAAACTACCTTTTTGATCAGAGAAGGCAAAGAAGTTTTCACTTGTGAGCTAATGTCTAATGACTGATAGAGCTTTCTGAGGCTACTTCCTGTCTCAGAGGATAAGGGGTCCTGACTGACTAGCGACACCTGCTCTGAGAGTAGGAGGGGAGAACTCCTGGATGCATACAATTCTTTGTCATCTTTGCTTCAGAAATCTTTAAGATGTAACATCAGAAATGCTGCCAAAGATTTTAATGATGCCAAAGACTAAAAATGTTACTTTACTTAGGCTAGCCTTGCCTCCTCCAGCCCCATCCTTCCTCCTGAGTAGATGATATAGGAGGGAACCAATAAATTTAATATCAGCTAAGTATCACCCTTTTATAACAATGCAAAAAACCTCAACATAAATTATTTTTAAAGTAACATCAAGGACATTTAAATTATACAATATTCTGAAATCAGGATAAAGGCAACTAAGTCAGCATTTTTCTACACACACACACACACACACACACACACACACACTCACACACTACAATACCTAAGTGTCTCTTACACTCAGTAAAATAAATGAGTTGATTCCCAAAATTGTCGCATGCAACAAATAGTTCCTAATCTTGCCTTTATTTCTAGCTGCCTCAGAGAAGGGAGAGAATGACATTGTGTGTGTGAACTATTTGTACACTGTCAAATTAATTCCATATAATTATAAATATTCACCACCTTCCAGCATCTTGGAAAATTGAGAGTAAATGGAAATAGTGAAGTTCAATATATGAAATCTGTCACCTCTAGGCCTTTGGCCAAACTCATGCCTAGCTCCTTCTGATACATGATTTACTCTTACCTCTCACCATAGATTAGCTTGCTCCACTTCCAAAAGGGTTCTTACACAGGAGCTTAAGAGGGACTTCTTATAGTTCTGCTTATACTGATCTTGTGGGAGAATTAGATAAAGAAAACAAATCAGGTCATTATTAAACTCTTGGAGATCAAGCCAAAGAAATAATCATAGACTGGTCAGTAAGACCACACATGTCTTAGCGCTACTTCTACTGCTAAGCTTTGTTTCATGGGGCAAGATCAGTCTAGCCCCTTAACATAATAGTAGACTTCTGCTTCTAATGTGCATTTGGATCAAATGGACTGGTGCTAAGCAGGCCTGCTTCTCATGCCAGGCCTGTGAGAAAATAGAATCATCCCCGTGTGCTGGGAAGGCCAACCACTGGTGTGCCGAGCAGCAAATGACCTGGCACATTTCTCTGTCTTGGTTTCATCCACAAGAAGAAATTCACATCCAGTAACAATTATGATAACCTTACTTAGCTAGATGCTTGCATTCTTTTCTATGTAAAATTTTGGTCCTATGAAATGTTTATAAACTTAAAATAGGTACCTACTGTTCATAAATTATTTCAAACTTAAACTGGCATCTCATTCAACTTCTGGGGTTTCTCAGTTTAGCAGATATGGACACCCAAATCTTTCTTCTGTTTAAAATTCCAAAGAATCAAAGAGTACAGTCACTTTGGAAAACTGTTTGACAGTGTCTTAAAAAAAACAAAAAACATAAATTTACATACAACCCAACAATTCCACTCCTAGGTATCTTAACCCAAGAGAAATGAAAACACAAAGTTCACAAAGACTTGTTTACAAATGTTCACAGCAACATTACTCATAACAGCCAAAAAGTGCAAACCACCTAATGTCTACCAACTGTCAAATGGATAAAGAAAATGAGGCATATCCATAAATGGGCTACAACTCAGCTACATGACTACTGATACTGCTACAATATGGATGATCCCCAAAATACCCTGCTAAGAAAAGAATACAGATGCAAAAGACTACATATGATTTGATTTATATGAAATATCCAGAAAAAGGCAAACCTATAGAGATAGAAAGGAGATTAGTGCTTGTCTGGGGTTGAGGGTGGGAAGAATAATTAATTGTAAATGGACACAAATGATTTTCCAGGATAATGTAATGGAAATGCTCCAAACTTGGTAATGTTGATCATTGCAAAACTCCCTATACTTACTAAAAAATTACTGAATAACACAAAATGAGTGAACTTTACAGTAGGTAGATTACACCTCAATAAAACATTCTCTCTCTCTGTCTCTCTCTCTCTCTCTCTCTCTCTCTCTCTCTCTCTCTCTCTCTCTCTCTCTCTCTACACACTCTCACACACACACACACACACACACATACACACACTCACTCACACCAGGGAATAAAGTCCAAAAGCACAAATTCTCTAGCATGGCATGAAGGCCTTCTCCTCCAATGATCTTCATCCCCACCCCCCTCCACACACACACACACAAGGCAATAGCTTTTCCTCTTCCTCAGAACATGCTGTTTCACACTTCTGTGGTTTTTCACTTTGAAAATGCACAGTCCCTTCTCTACCCAGAACACTCCACTCATCCTTCAAGACCCAAATCAGACTTCTCTGACATATCTCTAAAGTGTCTCAGTCAAAAAGCGTTTCTTCTTCATTGTGTTCCCATAGGATCTTCTGTAATGTCTGTGTTTATATTTTCTAATTTGTATTATAATCATTTGTTTTCAATGCCACCTTCACTGCATTGTGGGTTTGGGAGGGGGGCAGGAAAAGTATATACTAATAGCTACTACTTGTTTAACATTTATTCTTTACATATTATTTTTGGCATTTTTACTCATTTACACATTACTTCTAATCCCACTACAATCCTGCAGGTGAGCTATTACTGTCTCCTCTCATTGGGCTCAAAGAGGAGACACAGCATATTTAGGATCATACTGCCAATATCAGGAAATTGAGATCAAAATCCATCTATGGTGAACTCCAAAAATTCACTAAACTGCTTCTGTTTTACAATACAGAGCCTAAAGGAAGAGATGCCTCTATTTAATATATTGTAGTAGCAAAAGATATGGAGCCTGATTTTTAGTACTTTATCACTGATCAGCAATGCTAGAAAAGTCACTTGACAATCTGAGCTTCAGTTTCCTTATCAGGAAAACAAGAGGGTTGGGCTAGATAATCTCCAACGTTCCTCCTGGCTCTAAAAATTCTGATTCTGGGTGATATCTCGCAACCACGGGAACTCAAGATACAAGAAACCAGAGCAGACTGTCTGATGATAATCTAGAACCTTAACACAGGCCCTATCTGGAGATGTTACCATAGCACAGGATTGTGGGCTGGTGCATCCCAGCAGCATGAGCGCTTAAAGATTTCTGGAGCAAGTCCTTGAGCAGTTGCTAAAGAGTAGGACTGTACTCCCAGCTCTCTCTGCCTGTGTGCCTTATGAGATAGTACCCAACACATTAACTTCCACACATTGCCTGGATGTCCATCTCTGTCCCAGCACACGCCACTCATATCACACCTAATAAGGACTACTACCTACCTGCAGAGTGCTAGGCATCATTGCACCAGATGATCTGCAAGTATTCACAAGCACTGTCTCCTAACCAGCCTCTTCCCTACAACTCATTCAATACCTTGCCAGATTAAACTGTCCTGAAACTTATATCTAATTGAGTCATTCCTCTGCTTATAAGCTTCCCTCTCCTGCCAGTGTTCTATTTCTTATACAATAAAGTAAAAACCTAAAGTAAAAACCTATACTTTGGCTTATAAAAGCTTCTGTAGTCTGATCTCAACCTATCTTTCCAAATTCTTCTCTACTACTCTTCAAAAAATAAACTACCTCAGGGTTCTTACATTCAAGGGATATGTTTAATGTAAGTATAATTTTTATGTTAACATACCTTGAATATCATAAATCATCCTAAGATTTAGAACACAGTTTCCTGATAGCACACAAACTGGACTCTGTTCATGCAATACGGTTATGTAACTCCTTGTGCTGTCTCTGTCTAGAATGCTTTTTCCCATCATCTTCATACTTCAAAATCTTCAAATGAACTGGTATGTCTAGGGCCCAATGTGGTAGCTGACATATAAGTACTCATACATGTCTTCAGCTATTCGAAGCAGCCTTTGGTCTCCCTCTCTGTACTCACACCTTTTCTATATAACTTTCTTATATTGCTTATCCCTCTCTATTTTTGTTTTATAATTGTATAATGTGAATATCTTAGATTCTCAACCATCAAAAGCTCTTGGCAAAACTGGTATTTGGTCTTAGTCCTAGATGTACCCAGCACCAAGCACAAATTATAAATTAGTAGTGCTCAATAAGCCTTTCCTTAATGCATGAAACACACACATACACACACACACACACACACACACACACACAACAAACTAGGTGGAAACTGACATCTAAACTGGGATAGGCATGGAGTGGAGGAGCCACTACTATGTGCCAGGTCCTGTTGCTGAGCACAGTTAATCTCTTATTCTACTTAATCCTTTCAAAAACCCCACTAAGTAACTCCATTTTACTGATGAGGTGTCAGGGTTAGGAAAGTTAAGACAGTGGGCTAAGATCACAAGATGAGTCTGTTGGGACCTCTTCAATGCTATATATGCCACTGGTCCTCCTAACTTGTCACCCTCCAGGAGGTGGAGGATCTTTTAGAACCTCCCTCAACCCCAGCCCCGCCCACCAGGCCGGCTCCGCCCACCAGGCCGACCAGCCCCGCCCACCAGGCCAGCCCTGTCCGCAGTTTCCAGCTGAACTACTCCAGGCGCACGGCCCCGCCCTTTGCGTCGCGTGACG